TGCCCAGGTCGCCATGTGTCGGAGCCCAACAACAACAACGATCCTCACGACAACTCTAGGCAGTGTGGAGTCTGGGGATTCCCATTTTACAGATGAGGAAATTGCCCGGTCTGAGGTTGTCACTTGCCATGCAGGTCGCAAGCAGAGGGGTAAAGACTGAACCCCATGCTGCACAGTTTATGCCCTGACCCATGCTCCGAAGTGACCTCTGAATGGGGATCAGGGCCCTCATTCCCAACTCCCACCGAATTTTGACTCTGGGATTTCAAGGCCTGGTCCATTGTTCATCTACCCAACAGGTTTTTAGTGAGGCGCACACTGGGTGGACCACATCCAGGACCAAGAAGTGGAAGGACCACAATTCCCGCCTTCAAATAGCCCAGTAAGGAAGGGAAGTTAAGAGAAGACATGCCCCCCACCAGTGGTAATTGTGGGCTCTGGATTCGACCTCTGCATCCATTTGCTCCTTCTCTTCACCTCTGGGCAGCCCCCACCCTACCACCCCTTCCCAGCCTGGTGAGAAATGAGGTTGGCCCTCCCACGGTCTGCTACAATGGGTCCCAATGATCTCTAGGCCATCTAACACATCTTACGCCAGCCTCACTACCACCGTGGTCCCTAAGCAGACCCCACAGCACCCTCCCTCCTTCCTTCCTCAGGGTTGCTCGCTGCATCGGGTCTGGACAACTTGACTTTCAAGCATGCTTTTCCCTCGTGGGCATCGCCAGGTGTCCCGCCCCTCATTGCCACTAGGCTATAGCTGTTGTTCGGCGGGAGCAGTTTTGCTTTATAGTGAATAGGTAGAACTGAGAGTGGCGGTGGATGAATGTGCCTGCTCATAATCAAACACTGGATTTGCTCTGTTGAGATTTAGTTCGTTAAAAAGGTTGCAGGTTGCAACAGCCTCCCTTCCCGACAGGGAAAAATGCCCTCATTCATCTCCCTTTCAAACTCCAGGGTAGCTGGAAGCCCAGCTAGCTGGCCCAAGAGCCAGGTTCTCTGTGTCTGTCGGGCCATGCAGCCTTACCCAGAATCCCCCAGCCCCTCTGGCTTTGGCAGGACTGCAGCAGAGCCCATGAGTGCTGTGTGTGGTGTCTCTGTCCACACTCCTTATCCTCCACCCCCCAGGACCAGCTAACCCTTAGGGAGACAGAATGCTGCTTCTCCCCACCCCTCACAGTTGCTTGGCCTAACTTAATTTCCTGATCTGCATTATTTTAATTTCCCCATGGGAGAGACAGCCTGTTGGCTCTGATACTGGGAGTAAGAGCTCCCACTCAGGAAAAGATGGGGTCGGACTCCACTCTCTCTGCCCTCCACCTTTGCAGAAGACGCACGGCAGGGTTCGCATGGAGACTGACGTTCAGGTTCCAGAGTGGAGTTGGTGTGGTCTGTGCAGTGCAGTGCTTGGGCCACAAACCCCGGCTGGGTGGGGACCCCCACTGGTTCAAGCCAGGAGGGATGTGACATCCCATGGAAACCATTGGGATTCTGTGTGTCTGGCTTTTAGTAAAGTATGTATTTGGTCGATATCTCTTCAAAAAAGGGGTCTCTTTCTCCCACTCCCTCCGCCTCCCACTTCCCATCCTCCTCTTTACAATCCCCAGCCATTCACCACCGGGTTCACCTGGTTCTCAATGTTGGCTGCAGGAAGGTGCTAAGGGGTCCCGGGCTTCTCCTTTGAAATGTTTCAGCCTGACAAGGTCCTCTCCAAAACCCAACTAGGATTGGAGGGCAAAGCCCCAGTCACACTTAGCTCACAAGTGGAAGCAGATGGCACCTGACAGGGTTGCTTCCAAGTGGTGAATCTGACTCTTCAGTCAACTTCGAATGCCATGGAGGGCACTTCTTCTGGGTGGCAAGTTGGGCTCCACCTTTGAATGGGTGAGGCTGGCCAGGGGGGCCAAACTCAAACGGCTTAAACGGCCAAGGTCTGGGGCTGTCAAGTGAGGGGTCGCACAGGCTACCCTGACCGACTCATCACTTCCTTATGACCCTTCTGTAAGGGGATGTCCAATTGTCTGCAGATGGACTTTGGGTCTCCACTCTGCACTCCCCCTCCTTCACATTGATATGATTTTTTCTTCTGGGTCTTTGATGCCTGATACCTGAGCCCATACCTGAGCTCATGAACACACAGACTGGTATGCTTCTTCCATGTGGGCTTTGTTGTTTCTCAGCTAGAAGACTGCTTGTTTATCTTCAAGCCTTTAAGAACCCCAGATGCTATATCTTTTGATAGTCGGGCACCATAAACTTTCTTCACCACACTTGATTATGCACCCATATGTCTTCAACGATTGTGTAGGGAAGGTGAACATCACAGAATGCTGGGTAATTATGACAAAGTGTTCTTGCATTGAGGGAGTACTTGAGTAGAGGCCCAATGTCCACCTTCTGCCTTAATACTCTATTTTGTTTTTAAAGCTATGTATTTAAATATATATTTTTTTGTTTTTACAAAACACCCTTATCACCTTCAATGTCCTCTCCATTATGCTTAATAAATTTGTCAAATCTGTGCTTCTATTCTTGGAAACATTTTTCAAACTCATCTGTTTGGGTGGTTGACAGCACCTCCCTCATTTTTTTCTTCACCTCTTCTACTTCATCAAATCACTGTCCTTTCATGCCCCTCTTTATTCAAGGAAACAAAGAGAAGTCACATTGAGTGAGGTCAGTTGAGTAAAGTGTATGGGGCAAGAAAGGCATGCTGTTTCCTTGCCCCAAACTGGCACACTGAGATGGCTTTGTGAACAGGTACACTGTCATGGTGGCAAAACCAGTCCCCCATCTACCACCTATCAGGCCTTTTATGTTGCACATTGTTATGCAATCTTTTCAGAACTTCTAAATAGAAAGCTTGATTAGCAGTCTGACCTGGTGGAACAAGCTCCAAATGCTCTATCCCCCTCACATTAAAAACAAAAGCAAAAAAAAAAAAAAAGGAGCATTTCCTTGATCTTCGATTTCATTTGATGAGCTTTTGGGGGAAAAGGTGACGATGGCGTCTTCAACTAGCTTGATTGATGCTTGTTTTCGGGGTTGTAAGAATAGCACCATGTCTTGTCACCAGTAATGACCTTGGGAAAAAAGTCTGGGCATGTTTCCACTTGACACTTTTTCCTTGTCAATCAGAACCCAAGGCACAAATTTTCCAACAATCCTTCTCAGTCCCAAATCTTCCATCAAGTTTTGCTGAACCAAGCTCCAAGACAGTCCAGATAACTTCCCTATCTCTTCAATGGTTTTTGTTGGTCTTTGAGCACAAGTGCACGAATTTGGTCCACATTTTCATCCATTTGGGAAGTTGACAGATGTCCAGAGTGAGGTTTGTCATTTCACCTTTTTTGAAATGAGAAAATCACTCATGCACTTGAGTTTTTCGCATAGTGCTGTCCTTGTAAGCTGTGTTCAACATCACAACAGTTTCTGTGGCCTTTTTCCCAAGCAGGAAACAAAATTTCACAGCTCCACACTGTTCTCTTAAATTGGCCATCACAAAAAACAAGATTCAAGCATAACTGGTTTTACAAAAAAATTCACTGTGACCAGAGAGAACCCTCCCAAGTGATGCCACTGGGTACACTAAATCGGAGATTTGCTCGATGCTCGCCTATCAGGAAAATTGTGTCCTACAGAAGCTCTGCCCAGCAGAACTTTTTTCATGGCTTTTTTGAGGGGGTGGTGGGGGTTGGGATGGGCATAAAGGGCCCTTCCCATCAGTTAAACATCCATTGTCTTGAAACCCTATAGCAGTCCTTTTCCCTTGCAGGATTTTAGTTGTAACACCTTCAACTACAGATCATCAGAACAGTTGTGTCTCCCCAAGAATCAGGGTGACAGGGACAAGTACATGCGTGTTGGGCTCTTAGCCAGAGATGACAGTGACACCTACTTCTTCCCCACTGTGGGAACTGCTTTCTCTATCAAGTCATTCAACAAAGGTCACTTGAATATCTCTGGGTCTGCATTTTTCTGCCTGATGGGCTGCTAACTGCAAGGTCAGCAGTTTGAAACCACTAATTGCTCTGTACAGGGCTCTGTACTCCTGCAAGAGTTACAGTTTCAGAAACTCACAGGAGCAGTTCTACTCTGTCCTATAGAGTCACCATGAGTTGGCATTGATTCAGTGGTTACTAGCATTGAGATGCTTATAACGCCACTGGATTCACAAGACTTCCCACCCATTGGCCTGTGATCTTCCTGTATTCAGCATCATTGCATGTGAGTCTGAAGAGGACTTTATAAATTGGTATTAGACCGATGAGCTAATATCAGATTTATGGACTTAATCTGGACTGGGTTGGGATGTCTTCTCAATATTCAACTACTCTTATTTATAAAGCTCTTTCTTAGACCCATATGAGTGTCCCTGGATTTGTTCCTCCAGTCTACCCAGACTAACAGTGTGGCATTGAGTTTGTTTTGTTTTTTGGAAGGTGAGGTAGTTAGTTTATTGTGCCAACCTGGCCAATAAACACACGTGGGATTAACTGAAGAGTGGAGAGATAAATGGCTCGGTGAGCCTTGCCTTTTTTGTCTGTTTCTTTTTGATCATTGGACCAGTGTGCGGCTGCCTTGCTTGTTCATTGCCTCAATTTGCAAGATACACTACCTGTGGGACACCTAACCTGTGGACTGTGTCGCTGTAATTTGAGGTTCCTTCAAGACTTGCTTCACCACACCATTGGAATTTACATCTCTTGAGCTGGGGACTGTTGGACCCTGTCATCTGGCTGACTCTTGGTGACCTGCCTTGCTTTTTGCTGCCTGTGCCCGGATAGCCTGAATTGCTTTACAGAGGACTACCCGGCAGCCCTCAAGACATGAAGGACTGCCAGTGTCTTATAACTGTCTCACGGGAGTGAGTTGCATTGAGCCATTTGTACTGCTTTATAATTTAACTGTTTATTTCTTATGTTATATATCTATCTATCTGTATAAATATACATAAAATTATTACCATTCTGGTTTTGTTTCAACAGAGAACCCTGTCTAACACAGAAGGGGAAATATATGGAGCAGCGTGACCTCCCATCTGCATCCACCCTTCAGATGTTCCCAGAGCACAGGTAAGCAGGAAGGATCATGGGCAGAGTGCATCCCCAGGCAGACTATACAGCGCCTGTTCCTCTTCTCTCCAGATTTACTGTCTGAGCTCGTCGGTGAACAGAATGAGTTGCGGAGTCAATGGGCCTGTGCTCGACTAACTAAATGCATTGGCACTCTGGTGGTGTAGTGGGCGGCCCGTTGGGCTGCTGACTTTGAGGCCAGCAGTTTGATCCTACCAGCTAGTCAGGGGAAGCCCCTAGCTAACATCTGACCTCCGGGCTTGAACCAGATCAGACTTACCCACTTTTGCACCTTCTACGGCGTTGACATAAATCTCTTTCTGTAACGTACACACGGAGAAGTCGCTCGGTCTGCTTCTCTAGAGATTCCAGCTTAACATTCCCAGTTGCCTCAGGCCTCAGTTTGCCCATTCTGTTAAGGGGGTACTACCTCTGTCTCTTGTGCTTAGAATGGGTCCGGGTGTACAATCAACCCCTTACGGCCAGTTGCTACCATCCACTCTTGATCCAGCTCCTTTCTTTCTCTGAATCATGAGAGTGAAGATGAGAGGGGAGAAAGGGGGAGCTGATTTTCCTGTTTGTTTTAGATTTGGTTACAAATGAGTCGTGAAACCCCTGACACCTTCCCTCGGCACCATTTAGAAAACTCGGTGAAATTGTAAATGAAGTTTGGCTAAAGACAGAGTGATCAACAGCTCCAGCAGGCCCTCCTGTCTCTCCTCCCCAAAGCCACAGACATTCAGCCCAACAGATTCAATCAGCATCATGAGGCACTGACATCCAATACCGCGCCCACTACGTGCAGCCATTAGCCCGTCAGTGTTTGATACAGCCCCTTTGGATAGCCACGCACTTCTCGCTCCCACCCTGCCATCCCTATCAAAAGACTCCCCCAAGTTCCCCCCACGCCGTCCTCAAAGACCAGCCAAGAGCTTCCCCCAGACCATGACTGGAGGATGCTGGTGCTGGTACAGATTGGAGGAACTGCCTGCAGGATATAAATAGGACCCATTTAGATATCTTTATTGCCATGGCTCCGCCGAGGACCCAATAAAGAGGTTCCTGAGACTGCCTGCAAATGTGACTTCAGCTCATCTCCAGCTCCTCTCTGCGAGCAAATGGGTCTCAATTACGCCGAGCCTGTGAACAGGAAGCGTGGAATTGATGCCTTAAATTTTCCCCATTCACCAGTGATTCAGCTTTGTGCGTGCGCCTCTGACGGGTCTTTGTGCTGGCGATGCGAATGCGTGGGGCGCCAAGCGCCCATTCACCGTGGCCTCTCCAAGTGTGCTCCCGCACAAAGGCCTTGATGCGGCCGTGATTTCCCATTGAGGCCCGTTGTCAATCAGAGGCTCTTCCGCCCGCCACGCCCTGCACCACTCTGCCTTGAGCTGGCTTTCAGTGGCAGCTGGGTCACTGGCTTGTTAGGTGCCCTTGGACGAGGTGCCTCAATGGAGGGTGGAGTGGTCTTGGGACTGGAGGGGCTTTGCATGGACCAGTAGGTATTGGCCGCTCCTCTGCCTGCTGCCTTCTCGATGCTTTTGTTGGGTACCAGGCAGGAACGGAAGAACGTTTGGTGTGCGCTCTCATTCAGAGGGCCACGTCTTAGATTGTAGGAGCCCTGGGGGGCGGGGCTTGCACTTTGGGCCACTAACCACAGGCCCCAACATTGGAAACCAGCAGATGCTCTGAGGGAGAAGGACGAAGCTCTCGGCTTCCGGCCCGACGGAGAGTAGCGGAAACCCAGCGGGCAGTGCCTCAGTCCAGTCGGGTCCCCGTGAGTTGGGACAGTGAAGAACACAGTGCTTCCTGGAGGGTTTACACGGGGCTCATTTGCATCACGACCCTCAGGGTGCCATGGGAGTGGGTGTTATGGGAGTCAACGAAGGGAGCTTCTGGGTGGGCCTGCCACCCTTGAAGATCCAGGGCATTGAGGAGGTAGCCTTCCATCTTCCTAGAAAGATGTGGCAGACTTCCAGATTGGCTTAAAGGTTATTGCCCCGGCTAAGGATTGGGTCTGCTGTATTTAAACTCAGAATTCTGCTACCGTTGAGGAAAGGGCAAAGAAAAGCCAGGTCTCCTTCCCCGAAGCAGTGATTGTTTGCACAGAGCCCCGAGTCAGTCCTGGATAGCGGTGGGGGAAGGCAAGCCTCATGTCCTCCTGGCACATTCCACCAGAAGTGGAGAGCGCTCTGGTCCCTGAGATGTGAAGCTGCTGGACAACAGGTATCTAGGTCAACCCATCTAGAACTTTTCTGGGGTCAAAAAGCTCTGTGAGACGAAAGGACCCCTAACATTGGAAATGCACCATGTCTGGTGTGTGGGCGTCATAAGTCCCTGTCTGCACTCACGGTGTGTGCCCAGTCTTAGAGCAGAAGACGATGGCTCAGAGCAGTGAATCGGCTTTTCCAGGGTCTCGGAATCCAGACTCCCAGCTGGCTCTCTGATCCAGCTGGCTGTCCCAGCCCCATCAAGGCATGACTGTGAGGGCACGATGTCGCCCCAAGCCTAAGCCCAGGGCGACCCTGCAGTGCTTGCCTGGCCCTCCCCCAAAAGGACTGGTGCTCTGCGCCTACCGCTGACAGGGGACAGAGAAGAATGAGCTGTTCACAGGGGTGTGTAGACCCCAGGTGGACCCCAGCTGTGAAGGGCTGTGCCTTAGGAAGCACAATCACACTTGTTTATCACGGCTTGCGGTAGAAGGTCAGGCTGGGTGGCCAAGAATCAGTGAGCTCTGTTCATGTGAACCTGCATGCTAAGGCAGTGCAGAGATGTCTGGAGCCAGCAATCCTGCTGGTTCTGTGTGGGCCGACCATCCCTGCTCAGCCCTGGGCCATGCGGGCGGGCGGGTGGCAAAGAGCAGGACACAGAGGCAGTGACAGCCACATGGCCAAGCTGTGCTTCGTCAGGAGTTCAGTGGTGGATTTCTTGCCTTCCCTGCAGGAGGCCCAGGCTCCATCCCTGGCCAGTGCACACCCACCACCCATCTGCCAATGGACCTTGGGTGTTGCTGTCATGCTGAGCAAGATTCAGGGGACTTCCAACTAAGCTGGACTAGGAAGAGAGGCCTGGCAATCTACATCTGAAAAATCAGCCCATAGTATCTGTGCAGATCACCTTGTTGCACACGAGGCTACCATGAGTCTGGGCCAACTCCACTGTCACTAGTAGGCTCATCCTTCCTTTGATGGAGGAAAGGTCTTCGGCCATGTAGTTGATTCTGCTCGTGACAACCCTACAGGACAGGGTAGAACTGCCACTGTGTCTTTCCGAGACTCTGACTTTTTACAAGAGTAGAAAACCTCGTCTTTCTCCCTCAGAGTGGTTGGTGGTTCTGAACTGTTGACCTTATGGTGAGCAGCCCAACACGTAACCACTATGCCACCAGGGTATGGAAAGGAAGGGAGTTCCTATGCCTTTCACGGTTTTGTTTTTTTCCAGCTGGGACGATAAGCCCCATTGCCTTAGTTAGAGTCAATGCTGACTCAGAGAGTCCTACAGGACAGGGCAGAGCTGCCCCAGAGGGTTCCCAAGGTTGTGATCTTAACCACAGCAAGAAAGACAGAGATTTCTACTCCCATAAACAGTCCTAGTCTCAGAAATTCACGGGGCCAGCTATACCCCGTCCTGTCCTGCAGCCCTGCCCGTGGAACATTAGAACTCTGAATTGTTTATTCATTCATTAGCAGAAGTAAGAGGGAACAGTTCCAGGCAGGCCTTCCAATCACAGCCATTGTGGGTGCTGGTGCTGGCACCGTTCTGAATACATGAGGGGGTGACCCCCCAAAAACTGGAATTTGTTTTTCAAAGCTACATATTAAAATTTTTTTTTTACAAAACAACCTTATCACCTTCAAAGTACTGTCTATTACATTTACTATATTTGTCAAATCTGCGATCCCATTCCTGGAAACATGTTTCAAACTTATCTGTTTGGATGGCTGACTGTGCCTCCCTTGAGTTTCTCTTCACTTCTTCTGTGTCGTCAAATCACTGTCCTTTCATGTCCCTCTTCATTCACGGAAACAAAAAGAAATTGCATGGAGTGAGGTCAGGTGAGTAAGGTGTGCGGAGCAAGAGAGGCATGCTGTTTTTTGCCCAAAACTGGTTCACTGAGATGTCTGTGGGAGCAAGTACAGTACATTGTTGTAGTGGCAAATCCAGTCCCCCATCTGCCACAAATCAGGCCTTTTTTGCCACACTGTTATGCAATCTTTTCAGAACCTCTAAATAGAAAGCTTGATCAACAGTCTGACCTGGTGAAATGAGCTCCAAATTCACTAGGAGTTGACATTTTCATCCATTCAGGAAGTTGACAAATGTTCAAAATGAGGTTCGATATCAATCGACATTTCACCCTTTCTGAAACAAGAAAACCACTTGTACACTTGAGTTTTTCCCATAGCGCTGTCCTTGTAAGCTGTGTTCAACATCACAACAGTTTCTTCGGCATTTTTCCTGAGCAGGAAACAAAACGTCAGAGCCACACGCTGTTCTCTGAACTCGGCCATCACAAAAACACAAAGTTTAAGCAAAACTGTTTTTATGAAAAAGTTCACTGTGACCACAGAGAACCTTCCCAGGTGATGCCACTGGGTGCAGTAACTCAGAGCAAGTTGCTTGATATTCGCCTAGTGGGAAAAATGTGTACTACAAAATCTTTACTCCAGGATAATTCCAATTTGGGGGCATGGTGGTGGTGGCAGCGACAAACATTTTTCCTTATCCCAAACCTGTTCACACTCAGTTCACAGTTTACAGAGAGCCTTGGTGACTGGCTCAAGGCCCAGGGAGACTTGCTCGTCCCTGGAGGGAGACTTGAACTTTCAGAGCTCTTGGAGCGTATGAGTCAGCATTGACTCGATCGCACTGAGTTTAGTTTGGATCTTTACGGGAGCAGACCACTCCATCTTTCTTCCTCAGTGGCTGGTGGGTAGATGCCACTGACCTTTCAGTGAGCAGCTGATTCGTACTGTCATCTACTCTCTGCTTGTCGATGT